TTAATTTTTTTTTTCAACGTTTATTTATTTTGGGGACAGAGAGAGACAGAGCATGAACGGGGGAGGGGCAGAGAGAGAGGGAGACACAGAATTGGAAACAGGCTCCAGGCTCCGAGCCATCAGCCCAGAGCCTGACGCGGGGCTCGAACTCACGGACCGCGAGATCGTGACCTGGCTGAAGTCGGACGCTTAACCGACTGCGCCACCCAGGCGCCCCTGTTAGTAATTTTAAAAAGAGAAAGAGAAGGGGCGCCTGGGTGGCGCAGTCGGTTAAGCGTCCGACTTCGGCTCAGGTCATGACCTCACGGTTCACGAGTTTGAGCCCTGTATGGGGCTCTGTGCTGACAGCTCAGAGCCTGGAGCCTACTCCCTTTCTCTCTGCCCCTCCCCCATACATGCTCTGTCTCTGTCACTCACAAATAAATAAAAACATAAAAAAAAATTTAAAAAGAGAAAGAAAAGACAAGTTATATAAGTCAGGCTTCTTAGGATGACACATTATACGCGTTTGTATGGCAAGATCTCCAAGATCTATCATTAGGAAAAAAGTAAGGAGCAGGCGTTTACATCTAATATGTACATTTGCATATGTGAGAGCAAAAGAACACTCCAGAGTTCAATGACACGAGGACCATGAGGATTAATGACAAAGGAATCCTGAAGGTGACAGCTTCAGCTATTTGACAGGATGCGCCAATGGACATATAAACAAAGAAATTTGTAATTATATCATCCCCAGTAAGATTCTTGGAAAAACCAGAGGACACAGCTTTAGTGCAGAAGTTTATGTTACCTAGAAACTTGCACAATTGGTTTCAGGACCTCTAACGTGGGGTTCATCAGGAGTGTTGTTGGTCAATGTTCTAAGGTCATTTCAAGATAGCGTGTAGAACAGCAGCACAGGGGCAACTGGCCAAGGCCCTATCCTATTTTGCCCTAAGTGCCGATGTTCTAATCACGGTGACCAGGGAGCAGAGCCGTTCCTGTCCCCAGAAATGAGAGAGCCCCCTAATCATCTCTGGCATGAGAGAGAAGCAAAAAAACAAACCAAAAAAACCAAAAGTCAGCCGTAAGGGGAAAATGTTGTGGTTTCTGTTTTGGAATAATGGGGACAATTCTGTCCAATCTAGCAAAAAGGTGAAAACTTAGAATCTTTTGTAAAAAGTAATTTTTCTGCTCTCAGACACCACATATACTATACGCTGTAAGTAACCACATCACTAAATTTATTATTATTTTTTGAATTGTCATACAGTGGAATTGACTCTGGGGAGGGGGCATGCGCTTTTGTAAACTTTAACCTCATTGATTTTTTTTCCCACAAAAGTTGCTATGTGTTTATTAAGACATGTCTGTTAATTTACAAAGCACAGCGGGCTCACCAAATCATTATCTATGTATCATCAGACATTCAAGAGAGTTTCTGAGTAGGTATGTCAGGACTGGCTTTTCTTGTGGCTCAGCAGGATTTCAAATAATGTCTTTAGAAGTCTGAGTACCTGTATAACCTGTACTTGGGAGCCTTCCCTTTTCATTGCCCAAGGCAAAATATCCACTTCTGGGAGAAAAATCCATGGTATGAACAAGAGAAATCTTCTTCTTCTTCTTCTTCTTTTTTTTAAATTTTTTTTTTCAACGTTTATTTATTTTTGGGACAGAGAAAGACAGAGCATGAACGGGGGAGGGGCAGAGAGAGAGGGAGACACAGAATCGGAAACAGGCTCCAGGCTCTGAGCCATCAGCCCAGAGCCCGACGCGGGGCTCGAACTCCCGGACCGCGAGATCGTGACCTGGCTGAAGTCGGACGCTCAACCGACTGCGCCACCCAGGCGCCCCTTCTTCTTCTTTTTTAAAAAAACAACTGGGAAATTAGAAAATACCATACGGGAAGGATGGGAAGGATAGTGACCCAGTGTGACTGCTTCTTCCTTTTTTTTCTGAAGCAATTGCTAAGATTTCTGCAGTAGGACTGAAGGACAGAGAAGTAACACCCAAAACCAAGATCATTACAGCTTTTATCAGCTTTGGGTTTCCTTCTAGGGGATAAGAATCTTGATCGTATATGTTTACTACTCCACAATTGGAAGAGATCCCCGGTTTATTATAAAAAGATAAGAGTCAGGAACAGCCAGATGGAAGAGACGTGTGGAGCAAGGTATGTGGGAAGGGGCGTGGTGCTCCCATGTTGTCTCAGAGCACCACACTGTCCCCCACCTGGGCTTGATCACCAACCCTGACTCAAAAATGTTTGTAAAGTTACAACTCTTTGCTAGCTTATATTGCACAACGAACCTTCAACTTTAAAGTTCAAATTGCATCAGGTTGTTTGAACTTTGGCCTCAGAAGATTCTATCACATGGGGATTGCTACAAATTTTAAATGTAACCTCAACGAAGTGAATTTTACAAAAACAAAATAAAAGGATTGTGTACCCTGTCTTTAAAAGTTTTGCAATCACCAGAGTAAAAATGTATCCAGAGAAGAATCATCAATGAATGTTACATGTACTGGGTAAGAGTCCAATGAGGAACCACAGAGCCCGACGTGGTGCCCAAACTCATCAACCACGAGATCATGACCTGAGTTGAAGTCAGATGCTTAACTGACTGAACCACCCAGGTGCCCCTACTGTAGATAGTTTTTTAAGAAACATTTGAATTGATTGCAATGATGACAAGAAATTTGTGCTAATATTTCCAAGTGTGATAATGATATTAGGATCATGTTAAAAATAGTTTAAAGATACATCCTAAAAGTATTTATAGGTGATAGGATATTGGATTTACTTAAAATTAATGTGGTAGGGAAGTGGATGGAATTATAGTGGAAAATTATTGGATCTGGGGGAAAAGTATATGGGGTTTGTTGTATTATTCCTTCTACCTTTGTACGTCTGAACATTTCCACAACAAAATGTTTAAAAATGTAAATCAGATCACATAACCCCAATGAAAATCTAACAGCTTCCTATTATAAACTCCTGTTAAAATTGAAGATCTTGGGGCATCTAGGTGGCTAAGAGTCAGTTGTCGGAGTCTTGATTTTGGCTGTCATGACCCCAGGATCGTGGGATCGAGTCTTTCATCAGGATCCTTGCTGAGCAGTGAGCCTGCTTAAGATTCTCAATCTCTGTCTCTCTCTCTCTCTCCCCCGCTGCCCTTCGCCCCCACTCCCACTCTGTCTCCAAAAAATCAATAAAGTAAAAAATTGAAAGTCTTTTTGTTGGCCCACAATGCCACGTGGCGTTGGCACCTGGCCTACCTTTCTGCCCTTGTTTACCACCACACCTCCTCTAGCTCGCCCTCAGGACCTGCACACTTGCTTTTCCTCAGACTTGAGCAGTCTTCCCCAGACCTTCACGTAACTGGTTTTCTTTCCTTACTTTGGCCCCACCGCATCCTCCTCTTCCTCGGCGAGGCCTTCCCTGTCGACCCTCTCCAAATTCTCATTCTCCACCACCCCCAGTCACTCTATCCCCTTAGCTTCATTTATCTTCTTTCATTCCAGTTTACGGACTAATACAATTTCAAACAGTGGGATTTGTTTACTTGTTTAATGCCTCTGTCTCCCACTAGATTACCAGTTCCAGGAGGGCAGGGTTTCCTCTATTCCTCAGAGTCTCTCCTGTGCCTAACACAGCATCTGGTACAGTATTAAATATTTACTGAACAGGTGAATGTATTCATGAAGAAAAGACCATGTACCTCCACACTCAGCCTGGACACAGAGAACCCAAACCACATCTTACTGCCTACATTAACGGGACTTTAGCTTCCATTAGCACTTTTTTTTCTTTCCTTTAAATACTTTTCCTGAATGTCCAGCCTATGCAAATGGTTTGACCATCAATAGCCAGTTTGCCCGCTGAGATGATCTGAATTCTCTTGCCTTGCCGTTTCCACCATTTTTCTACTGTCGCGCATCAGTTCTTACCCAACCCTGAAGTGAACGACATGCCTTAAACCAAACTTCCAACTCACCATAAATTCTGGCCTTACCTTCTCCTGAGGCCCTGCCAAAGCTCTGCCAAGTAGTGCTCTCCCTTACCTGAGTAAGCCATCACCTCACTTTTGTCTTATATTGTTACCTTGGTGGTATTTGGAAAGCCAGCTTCTGACAAGAGGAGTAAAATCCAAACACAGTAGCCAAACTAAATAATAGTTTAATGTCTGGGGGCATTAAAAACGTAGCAACAGTGGCTAGTCCTGGTATATAGGGAACTGAGACAAAAGGAAAGATCAGTAATAACTATCTTGCCTTTATCAATCTTGGTTAGTGCTCCCTTAAATTGTGTCCCAAGGGGATGCTTCACTTACCTTAACCTATTCCCAGGATTACTACTAAAAACTGATGTAATAAGTAACAGAGAACGGAGTGCATAGTTTTAAAACCCAATGGATGAGTAGGTTGCTTTAAGCTACAAGGGTAAATTAGGGAGAGATAAAGAAGGGGATGGTGTCCTATGCTCGATCCTCATTTATCGTGGTATGAAGTCAAACGTAAACTAGAAGAAATCAGGAACTAGCATGTAAGTATTTTGTTTAGCAATTTTTTAGCAATCAGAATTAAAAACACAACTGGTTGAAGGGGGCTGCCTCTGAGGATGGGGAGCTTTCTCATTACAAATTCTCGGATACTAGGTACCCTAAACGTGGGCAACTGTTACTTTGATGACGACGATGATAACTGGGAAAACAAAAAAGTCCGGATTCCAAGACCTCTAAACTGCCAGCTCGGTCATAATCTGGTCCACACCCACCCCACAGACAGGGAGCAGCGCCGGCAATCCCATACTCAGCTCCCCGAAGCTTCAGGCAGCAAGGATGCCATTATCTTAACACAAGATAAATGGAGTCTCTTCCCAGTGCGACTTTTGTTCTAGTCCCTTTTTCTTCCTCCAACCTGGAAGGGCTCGGGGAAATCCTACGACAACCCACCCCAACAACGTCGCACGGCCGACAGACTCAACCCCGCCCAGAACCTTGGGTCCACCTTCCCACCTCATTTCCGGGGAGGCCTTTGCACGCGGACCCGGAAGCGGCGGGACCGGCAACTGCTAAGGCGCAGGCGCACTCCTCCTCAGTCGCGTCGTCCCGCCCCTTCCCAACCCAGTCGCCAACCTGTCCGGGCGTCGCAGCGGCCCTGGGTTCCCTCTTTTCGCCCCGCGCGGTCACGTGACGAGGGAGGGGCGGGTTAGCGGGAGCTCCGCGCTTCTTCCTCCAGGGCAATTTCTGGCTCGTCTTCCGGCGTCCCCTTCCCTGGGGGCCCCCCTAGGACTTCCCTGGACGAGAGCGGGGGGCTCGTCCGCCCCCCTGCCGGCCGCGGTCACGGCGTCCACGCCGGCGCCGCCTCCGCCTGGGCCTCAGTCGGCGGAGCGCAGACGGGCGGCTGGAAAGGAAAAGGGGCGGGCCGGGGCGGGCCGAGGCGAGCGGGGGCGGGGTCTCGCGCCGTCCTGGGGCGGCTCTTAGGGCTGGGCCCGCGCTGGAGCCGCGGACACCCGTCGTCGCTGTCGCCGCCGCCACCTTGGCTTCTGCTGCCACCGCCGCTGCCGGTCGCCACCATGAACCAGGATCTTCGCAGGGAGCGGGAAGCCGCCAGCTTCAACCCGGAGCTGCTCACGCACGTCTTGGACGGCAGCCCCGAGAACACCCGGCGCCGCCGAGAGATCGGTGAGGGCGGCAGACGAGGCCTCCCTCCTTGCCCGAGCGCGGCTCGAGATTCCCTCGATGAGGAGTCGTAGGGGGGCGCTGTGGAGAGTAGGCCGCAGCGCCTGAGCCGCGCGGGGCTCAGCTGTAGGGGAGCCGGGACCCCCACTCCCTGGGGCCCCCCCGGGGCTGAGTGACGGATGTCGTCCATCCCGAGAGGGGACCTGTGCCCGCACCCTGAAAGCTGCTGGGATTCAAGGTGTCACGGAGCCCTGAATTTCTGTCTTCCTCTTGATGCCCTTTAACTCCCTTGCAGAGAACCTGATTCTGAATGACCCAGACTTCCAGCATGAGGACTTGAATTTCCTCAGTCGCAGCCAGCGTTACGAGGTGGCTGTTAAGAAGAGCGCCAGCATGGTGAAGAAGATGAGGGAGTTTGGCATCGCAGACCCTGAAGAAATCGTGTGGTTTAAAAAGTAGGTATGCCTTCCCATAGATGAAGTGCCCAAGCCCAAACTTCACATTTAAACCCGCAGCCTGTGGCTTCCTTTTCCATCGGACTTGGTGTTTGAAGACTCAAATTGCATATTTTCACTCCACTTTAAAGTTATGTGTGTGAAAAACAGTGTCTGCTTTTGTACTGGAAGCCCTTTAAAAGGATGACATTTGTAGAAGGCCGATAATGAGTGGAGATGCTGCAGGGTTTGGGGTTTTTTTTCCCTTCTTAAGAATCAGTACCCATTTGTTTGGTTCAGACATCTCAACTTGGAGTGATTTGAGTTGCTTGCAAAATGACTTTGTTCTTTGTAAGAAGGAGGCTTGTTAAATTTAGAGGCAGGACTTGGAATGATTAAAAAAAATTTTTTTTAATGGTTATTTATTTTTGAGAGAGAGAGAGAGAGAGAGAGAGAGAGCAAGCAGGGAGGGGCAGGGAGAGAGGGAGGCACAGAATCAGAAGCAGGTTCCGGACTCTGAGCTGTCAGCACAGAGCCGGACAAAAGGGCTCCAACCCACGAACCTCGAGATCATGACCTGAGCAGAAGTCAGACAGCTGAGCCACCCAGGCGCCCCCACCCTGGGACAAATTTTAGTTGCAAGACCAAACAGTATCTTGGAGCAATAGCAGATTGTCTTTCCATATGAGAGTGTAGATCTTGAGTTTAAAATAATGGAAAATGTGGGTTGGATGAAGATTTCAGAGTTGAATATAAAGCATTCTAAGAACCCAGCATTCTTGAATCTGGTTGCAGTGTGATTTAAATGGCTCTTGGGCATAGGAGACCTCAAAACGCCTTGGTCCTTATGCTGAAAAGAGTATGTACGTTTTCCAGACCATCTGTTTTTTGTTGTGTTTTGTTTTTTAATTAGAAACAAGCACTTTTTTTTTTTTTTTTTTTTTTTTTTTTTAAAAAAAAAAAATTTTTTTTTTTTTTTTTTTGCCTTTATCTAAATAAACACTATAATTACATGACCTTAGCACAAGGTCCTTTCTTTGGCTTGTAGCCTCTCTTATGCTTCTTGTTTATTCCTGGGCACTTCGTTTTTTAGGTTTCCACATTTTAGAAGGATTCCAGTATTTTCTATCAGTAAAGATTAAGTGACGGGAATGGTGTATATTCAAGAGCTAAGAAGAATGGAACATGTTACAAGTTCTGCGTTTATGTAGTAATATAAATGCTCCCTTATTCTACTGCCTCTAATATGTTCGGTGTCTAATTATTTTCAGTCTGACCTGGTTATTATTGTGGAGGATGGAATCATTTACTCTGGCCCTTAGGACTGCCTGAGAACTCCTTGCCATTTTAGACATAAAGTTAGGATTTGTTTATTTTTGGTAGTCCGAATCAGAGTACTTACTCGCTTCCAAATGTTCTTTTTACACTTTTGAAGTTTGTAACTCATCATGGCTGTGGGAGTATTGAGGTTGAGTAACTCCTAGATGGTTATGTGTCTGAATTACCTGAATTGGGTTTTATGTAAAATTTGAGAATTTAGTAAGATCTTATTCTTTTTTGAAACGACCCAAAAGAAGAGGTTTGTTTCATTTTGCTTTGAAATGGTTGATGCTATGTGTTTCAGAGTTGGTTAGGAGATTTCATAATCAGTGGTGTAACCAGAGTGGAGTGAAGTCACAATGAAGTAGAACAAATTCCTTTATGTGAGTTAAAGAGCAGAGGACACAAGCCAGTTTCATCTATCGTTTTTCATGATATAGACCTTGCTGTTTAGGGAATGTAGAGTACAAAATTTAACACACCTTTTGATATCCTTCCAGTGGTTCTAGGATAGGACAGGGAGATCAACTTCTGCGAGAAAAAGGGATTGAAAATTAGTTTTGGCAGTTACTGAATGCCATTGAGTTTCAACCTGCCATCCATTGTAACTAACACGCATGTTTCACGTAGCGCTAAGAAGAAAGCAATGCAGCCGGTTAACTATGACATCCTGTTAGTTGTGAGATACACCTGACTTGTTACATGCTAGAACTGATGAAATACAGTAATATTTCTCTTTCTGGAGATTTTGAGCATTTACTGGTTTCTTTACAATTATTTCTCCTATCTCAAAATAAAATTCACATATGGGAATATTTTAAAGTTGATGGAATATTAGTAAAATACTGAGATGTCTCAACCCGAGCAATAAAAGAAATGTGCTCTCCAGTCTTCGGGGTAAAAACCTTGCTGTTTGGAGAATGTAAAAGTTGTTTTCCTAATCTACTCTCCTGTAATTTTGTCTATTAACTGTCCTGTTTACTATGAAAACTGAAATGGTCTTAAGAATGTTTAAAATTCTGATGAAGATCAGCCGTGGTATCTGTTACTCTCTTTAGGTTTTACAGCTGATTCCTTGAAAAGCATTTTCAGGAGGAATTAAACAATTGAAAAACAAGCACTGGGATTTTGTTCATGAGTTGGTTTTCGAGGATCTTCGAAAGAATCTCACTATGTTTATTAACGTAAACATTGGGCAGTCTGTTTTGTGTCACGTATTTTTCTCTCTGAGTTTCCCAGAATTATATATTGTGTCATTATCGTCATGTTATAAACCCACAGCTCCTCACTTCCCTCCAGGGAATAGGAGTGTCTTGCCACCATTTTTAGCACCTAAATTACTGCTTCTGTTTCTCAGAAACTCTCCTAAGTCTGTTTCCTCTTTTAGGAAAATATGATTGTTAAGGAATGCGGTGGTGCTCTTACCTTTGAGAGAACAATTTCTACATTTATCCACCTCCTCAGGCTTTTGACCCTCAACTTCAGTGAGGCGGGGTGTTGCTTCTCTACAGTCCAGCAGCAGGAAACTCCTGTTAATCCAAGTTACTGGGAAGCTAACTCAATTCACTTCTTCTATTCATACCTCTCTTTTTTCCTCTTGTTCTCCATTTAGTTTAAATTGACATTTGACACTGGTAAAAAGTCTAGAATCTCTGGGTTAAAAGGGCATTTTTGATGTTTCTTGGATCCAGGCACTCCTTAGATGTTTCAGCTTGTCCACAGCACCCTTAAAGGTGATCTTCCAACCTAAAGGCAGTGGGGTTGGGATTCAATCCCCAAAAGTGAACCGACAGACAGCCTTCTCCCTCTTTCTTTTAATTCATGCTGTCCTCATTAGACAGACCAAGATAAACCGGTGACACTGCTTCCTATTCATTCCTTGCAGAGTTGTGAAAAGCAGTTGGGTGACACTTGTTTTGTCCTTTAACATAGATAGATAGATAGATAGGTAGGTAGGTAGAGCAAAATACACCCCGGTAAAATCTTTAATGGCATAACCAAGCTGACTGGCGTATGTAAATTGTATTTTGACAATTGCACAGTTTGTTTTATTATTTGTTTTATTTGAGAGAGCGTGCAGGTGCACAGGCAGGGGAGGGACAGAGAGGGAGAGAGGATCTCAAGCAGGCATCATCGGGGAGCCAACGAGGGCCTCAATCTCATGACTGTGAGATCGTGACCTGAGCCGAAATCAAGAGTCAGATCCCCAACCGACTAAGCCACTCGGGTGCACCCACAGATTCTGTTTTATGAGAAAATAGTTGAAGACTGAATTTTAGTATGATTGGAATTCCTTTAATCTGGAGTGGTTATCAAAGATCATCAGCAGTAAACGTTTAACATTCTCACATTACCTACTTACCCATCTGTAAACTCAGAAGACTTTTAGAGATCTGTGGTTTGGCCCTGGGATATAGTATATATTTACTATCCTAGATGTTTGCTTTATTTATCTAGGGAAAGATTAAACTATTTAGTTGCTTTTGTTAACAGTCCTACAAATAAATGTCCTATGGGGTTCCTTCTGATTTTCAGAACAAGTAAAATCTGAAAATAAACACACACACTCCAAAGAATCTAACCAATCAAACCAACAAATGACACCAACAAAACAAAACAAAAAAACACAGGGGTTTCTAAGCTATAAAACATGGGTAGAATTTGCTTCCTGGATGAAGTGTAGAATTAAAGAGGATTTCTGGCCCTGAAATGACTTGAGGGGGAGGCAGTAGATACCACTGGCTTTGGCCTTTTTGCTGGGGAAATGGTAAACTTCTGATTTAATTTCTTGAGAGAAGGCTTCAAATTGTCCTAACCTCAGTCCCTGAGGGCCATGGCTGTCTGACAAGAATGGGTAGTAGAATGCAGTTTCTAGAGTAAGGCTGAGATCCCTTTTCTTTTCTCTCCTGTAGAATACATTTGGTCAATTTTGTGGAACCTGTGAACCTCAATTACTCCATGTTTATTCCCACCTTGCTGAATC